GAAATATTTGAGTTTTCCTTCTGAGAGGTTTCTACCATACACAGGTTAGGAGCTTTGCAGACTTTACTGTAATGATTTTGCAAGTGCTGTGATTGATGTTCTTGCTTCTCTCAGAGAGTATCTGAATTTTTAATGTTCATATAATCAAAGTTAAGTTCTTAACATTTTTAAGTTATAGAATTGATAATATGCAAAGTGAGCTGAGCCGTTTCTATCTATTTGAAGTCTTGAACAATAAACTCCAAATAATATGTTTACTGTATCAACATAAAGTGATGTTATATAGAAAGAAAATCTCTCTGATGGACCTCCATTATGAAGAATGGATTTTCTGTCACACTGGCTTTGGGAGTCTAAGCTTAAAATGGAAAACAGGAAATGGTGAAGTCAGCTCTTACAGGAAACAAAGTCAGTACCCTGGACAATAATGCCCATAGAAAGAAAGAAACATGAGAGCTCGAAACTTGTGTGTGTGTATAGTTTTCTTTCCCTCCTCAGATTCTCTAATATTCTCTCACAGTGATGAGAACATGCCTTAGAATTATGTCTCATTTTTATTTTAAGGTAGATATGCACAGAGGAATTATTGAATCTTATCTTACTTGTCTTTTGATTATAGCTTCTGACTGATTATGAAAGAAACATTGTTTTGCCATTAATGTAACAGTATTGCATGCTGCTCTGTCACAGAAGTGCCTTCTTTGTCTACTTTTATGCTATGTTTACTCAAGTTTTAGCTCATTTTAACTTTTCTCCCCAGAGCTTTTATGCTGAGCTAAAATATATAATGACCTCCCTTACTATGTTGTTTATAACAACACATTACAGAGTGCAAAGGCTAGCAAATATGACATTTTCATTAAAGTCATTAGAGTTAATTGTTTTGTTGCCCTTATTTTTTCTTTTTTGCAGCAAGACTTTATTAATCTTAGTTTCTTTTACTTGGCTAGTAATTGGTAATCACAACAATGTGATGAACTATTGATTAAAATGAAAATCACATGAAAAATACTCTGCTAAATGTGAAACAATGGGAAAAAATAATGCACAAATCCCATCTGTGCATTTGAGGGGAAGAAATGGATATGGATTTTACAGAGAAAATTGTAAATGCTGTTTATTGAAAGGTGCCGTGTGATTCTTGTGTAGCTGTAGTCTCTTTACCCTTCTACCCCTTCCAGGACTTCCAATGATTCTGGCCCACTCCTTCCAAGATCTCTCTATCCTTCTCTTCTTTTTTGAAACATTTTTTATGATTTCAGCGACAGTTTATAAAGCAAATTGATTTTCCATTCAGCAGTTCAAACATGTTTTGTGACATTGATTGCAAGCCTCACAATGTAGCAGTATACTTCCCACTTCCTTCCTTCCTGTGGTTGGTATCCATTCTTCCTTTTTTTCATATCCAGCCCTGCCTTCTGAGCTTTATCCCTAGACAGATGTTGTCCTTTTGATCTCATATGGTTGATTATTCTAAGGCGTGCTTATCTCCCCATCGTTATTGTTCACCATATAGGTCTGTCTGTTGTTTGACTGAAAGTTGAGCCATGGATTTGAGTTCAGTTCTGGGCCTGAAGAGTGATGAAAGTTCATAGTTTTGAGGGTTCTTAAGTCTCCATCAGACTAGTAAGTCTGGTCGTTTTTATTATTTTGATTTTTGTCTCAATTTTTTCCTCCCACAACCTTTATAGTGATCCCTTTCAGAGTGGCCAGTGGGACACTGTCTAGTTCTTGTCAGTTGAGTACTATCCAGTTCTTCAGTCACAGGATCATGGAAACGTAGGTTCATGTGGTCCATAAGTCCTTTGAACTAATTGTTTTCATTCATCTCTGATTTTCTTCACCTTTCTTTACTCTGAATGGGGAGAGACCAATAATTGCACCTTAGTTTGCTGCTCATAAGCTTTTGAGACTCCAGTCATTTTTCACCAAAATAGGATGTAGAACATTATCTTTGTGGTCTGTGTTTTGTCAGTTTACCTTGATACACCCCCGCAACTAAGATCCCAAGTCTCCAGGCCCTGTGATTCATTCCCTCAAGGTGTTTGGTTATGTCTAAGAAGTTTACATACCCTGCTTACTCTCTTCTAAGTAAGGATATATTTATAGCACGTATGAATGTGTTTGTAAAAATGTCATCTGCCAGACCTCTATATGGTTGTGAGTGTAGTCCCTTTTGCCTATTCCTACCTTTTCAAAAGTTGGACAGTGAATAAGGAAGACCGTACAAGAATTGATGCATTTGAGTTATGGCGTTGGAGGGCAATATTGAAAGTGCAATGGGCTGTCTAAAGAACCAACAGATCTGTGTTGGAAGAAGTGCATCCAGAGTGCTCCTTGGAGGCCAGGATGGCCAAACTTTGTCTCTCATACTTCGGACATATTGTCAGGAGGGACCAGTCACTGGAGAAGGATACCATGTTTGGTAAGGTGGAGGGTCAGAGAAAAAGAGGAAGACCCCCAGTGAGATGGATTGGCAAATTGGGAGCATCAGTGGGCTCAAGTGTGGCAATAATTGTGAGGTTAGCCCAGCACTGGGCAGTGCTTCGTTCTGTTGTGCATAAAGTCACTTTGAGTCGGTACCAACTTGATGGCCTCTAACAACAACAACAACCAGTTCATTTTGCCTCTCTGCCTATACATCCAGTTTTAGATTGTTGTTGTTGTTAGGTGCCACAGAGTCGGCTCCGACTCATAGCGACCCTGTATAGGGTTTTTGAGGCTGTAAATCTTCACAGGAGCAGAAAGTCTCATCTTTCTCCCGCGGAACAGCTGGTAGTTTCGAACTGCTAACCATGAGACTAGCAGCCCGATTCATAACCGCTGTGCTACCAGAGCTCAGTTGTAGATTAGTGCTTGCTATTACTGATAATGCAGGATTGTGTGTGTAATAGTATTTGCCTTTGCTGTTTATAACTTCATTTCTTTTCTTTAGTAGTATTATGCTGATTAACCCCTTATTGTGTTGCCTTCCCCTTTACCCCAAATACTCCCTGTATACTGCGTAATAAGATTACTCTTTCCCTAGCAACCATAATTTTTTTTCTATGTGTAATAGTGGATTCATACAATATTCTTTTGTGCTTGACTTATTTCACTCAGCATAATGCCCTCCAGGTTCCTCCATGTTATCAGGTGTTTTATGGATTCTTTTCTATTCTTTAACATTGTGTAGGAATGTATATACCATGGGTTTTTGGTCCACTCATCCATTGATGGTCATGTTGGCTGTTTCCATTTCTTTACTATTGTGAATAAGGCTTCAGTGAACATGAGTATATACATAATATATATATATCCATATCCTGCCTTTTTTTTCTTTCTTATTTCTGCTTTAACAAACAAATTTATTCTGTCCCAGTTTAAAAGGATAGAATTCCAAATTAAGAATACTGGCTCTGGGGAAAGGTCTCTTTTCAGGATCTGTAGGCCCAGCATTACTTTGAGATCTCTGTATGTCTAGACATTAGTCATTCCCTGGATCTGAAAGCTTCACAGTCTAGGGACCCCAGGTCCTAAGGACATACTCCACTCCTGGCTCTTTTGTCCTAGTGGTAGTGTGTTCCTTCTAGCTCTCACTTCTTTAGGATATATACCTGCTAGTGGGATTGCTGGGTCAAATGGTATTTCTGTTTCCAACTTTTTAAGGATGCACCATACCATTTTCCACAATGGTTGCACCATCCTATAATCTCATCAGCAGTGCATGAGTTCCAGTCTTTCCACACCCTTGCCAGCATTTGTTGCTTTGATGAGATATCTCATTGCTGCTTTTATTTGTTTTTGGCTTTGTCCTGTTTAAAGCTTAAAAACAGGTTTCTAGCTGATAATCCAACACCATGGGAAAGTTAAGTAACTTACTGTGTTGCAGCATTTTGAAAAATTGCAAGTTGCACAAAACAATAATTTTAAAGCATAGGTAGCAACTTAGATGAGCACTTATGATGCAGTGTTACATGCAAACAGAATTCAATATTTTATTGGTACTGATTTTAAATGTAAAGTTATGTAAGTACTATTTGTAGAAGAAATATGGAATAAATACAACACAATTAGAGTGGTGGCTTATAGAGTAATTGTAAAACTTCTGTTTCTGCAAAAAAAGTGTTTCCAGATAGGCATTTTTTAATATTAAAAATTTCGTCCTCTTGCGTCAATACTCATTCAGAAAGCTGGAGGGTAAGAGCTAGATTTGTTTTTTGTTGTTGTTAGGTGCCATTGAGTTGGTTCCAATTCATAGCCACCCAGAATAGGGTTTCCAAGGAGCGGCTGGGGAGCTTGAACTTGCTGACCTTGTGGTTCAAACCAACTTTGCAGTCCAGCGCATTAACCCACAGCTCCAGATCTAGATTAAAACAAAGGAAATTGACTGCATATCAGCTAGGAATATTTAGGTATACCAGGAAGGAGAAGAGAATAAATTGGACTAGTCTTAAAAATACTTTTTTGTACTTCATTATGTCAAATAAATACTACCCAAATCCCTCTGTCAGTGTTGGCTTTAAGAAGCACTGAGTGCAGCAGACAGGCCAGAGGCTAGGGTCAAGCCCAACTCTGCTACTTGCTAACTATTTGACTTACAGCAAATAATAGAATTCATTTATTAAAGTATTATTAGTAGTTTATTAAAATACTTAGTTTATTTAGCTTATAAAAGCAGTCTATTTTTATTCTTCTGAGTGTAATGCCATTTCCCCCCAGGAATTGGTATATAAGGCTAGAATTAACAATTTTCACATGTTTTTTGATGATTACCAGAGGTGGGAGGGAAACAGAGGGGAAGTTACTGGCTAGACAGTGGACATGCTTCACTTGGGTGAAGAGGGGGAAATGCTATACCAAGTTTTGCTTTTTTTTAAAGCAGTATTCTTAAAAAGAGTTTTCAAATATAAGACTCTCTGTAAATACTCTTATGTATTGTTACTGTTTTTACTAAGCTCGTAAGTAAATTGAACTAAGGAAAAGTTGATCTAAAAGTATCTTTCCCCTTTCTGTTACAGGGATCTTTTATTTAGCCAGATGTATGACAAATTAAGTGAGAATTCAGTGGCCAAAGGAGTATTTTTGGAGTGCCTTGAACCATATATCTTAAGTGATAAATTGGTGGGGATCACACCCCAGGTAATGAAAGACTTGATTATACATTTCCAAGATAAAAAGTTAATGGAAAATGTGGAAGCCCTCATTGTACATATGGATATCACCAGCCTAGATATACAGCAGGTGAGTGTATAGGCAGTCTGCTTATTTTCAGAATAAATATCATCCTTTCATTGATTATATTGATTGACTGTGATTAGGCTTCACTCTGCCTTCCTCTAAACCCCCATTTTTTATTAAGCCTTTCTAGTACAATGTCTTGTAAACTTGTATTTATTGATATATTCCTTTGGACTGTTTTCAAGTGAAAGCTATATGAAAAACTCCTACAAGGCAACAATTATATCTTCTATCTTTGACATCTGCCAGAGCTCTTGGCAGAGGGCTTACATTTAATAATTTAATGCTCAGTAAATGATTGTTGAGTGATTTTTCATCATCAGTCTGTTCACTACTACAGTTTTCATCCTGTAGGTACTTTCACATAACCAATAGAATATTTTCACCTCCAAGAGTACAATGTCATTTTTTTTTTTTTTCCTTCAGAAATTAGTATATAATGCCAGAGTTAAGATGTGAAAATGAAGACCATGGTATAAGCAGCAAGTTTCAGGACTTCTTAGCATGATCAGTTAGCCATCATTTGACATTATCCCTACAGTATATCTGTTGTTGTGTGGTGCTGAAACATTTCTGATGCATAGCAACCCTGTATAGAGTTTCTGAGAGTGTCTGGTGGATTTGAACTTCCAACCTCATGGTTGGTTGTTGTTGATGTTGTTATTAAGTTACACCAAGTCAGTTCCGATACATAGCGACTCTGTATAGGGTTTCCAAGGAGTGGTTGGTGAGACTGAACTACCAACATTGTGGATGAAACTGAGCTTGGGGGTTCACTGCTTATCCTGCAGTGCCATCCCAATATTTCTAAGAATCTGCATAAGTTTTCAGTCTTTAACTATGAAGCAGTATTTATCCTGACCTAAAACAGTTCACAGTTCAGTCAATTCTGTGTCAGTCATAGCGTTGAGCTGCACCTTCAAAGGTGCTGAACCCTGCTGAGTTAAAACATGATTTAGATCTTAGGAAGACCAAAGGGAAACAAACAACAACAATAAAAAGTGCCAAATCGCATAGAAATGAAGGGTTTGGAAACTTACTTTTGTTTTCTTTCTGGAAGCTCTGTATGAGTGCTATGAGTTTGCAAAGTAAAGCCAATCTTCTTTCGCATGTGCCCTTCTCTGGTGTGGGTAGGTTAGCATAGTCATCACAACCTGGCAAGACTGCCACTAACTTCTCCAGCCACCTCTATTTACCTATCACTGATGGAAGATGCCTTTCTCAGTTCTTTTCTTTACAGCTTTTGATCTGTTTTCCAATGCCATGTAAACTTGTAGCAGTCTTTTTCGTGATAAAGCACCAATTAAGAACCGCTTCCCTCAATTCCCCATCTGTCTATAGCACATCTGTTTGTAGCAAGACTTCTCCCTTTCTTTTTCTTAGATTACTACTCCATCTCGTCTGTTTCACAGCCAGATTTTGTGAAAGCATTGTCTAGGCTGTTATTTCCATTAAAGAAAAAAAAAATGTTTTTTTTTTCTTTTTGTCCTACTAGCTCTTCAACCTGTTTTCAATACAGCAAAGACCTTTGCTATATCTACTATATTGAATAATAGTTTTCAATCTTTATTTTACTTACTCTTTCAGCAACTTTCATTTATTAATTTTAAAAATATTTATTGTCAGGGTCTGAGGGTACATTAATGACCATAGCAGTGAAGACCGGTTCTCTAATAAAGCTTACATTTTAGTAGAAAATATTAACAGTAAACAGATCAATAGACAAACACCAAAGAATACTCCAAACAAGTATTATGTTAAAAATCAAGCAGAGCTTTGTAGTAGAAGGAAAATGAAGGCTACCTTACACTGGCTAGTTTTGCAGAGGTAACACTGAGCATTGGATTTGAGTGACAAGAAGGAATCAGTAATGCAAAGACTGTGGAGAAGAAGATGTAATAAGTCTAAGCAACACCTAATGCAAAACAAAACAAAACAGCATAGTGCCTTGGGAGTTCAAGTAACAGAAAGATTACCTGAACTGGGACGCAGATCTGGAGCTTGGTGAACGAGAGAGGTAAACCTTGCAGGGAAGGTAAAGAATTTTTTATTTTATTTAAGTACAGTGGGAAATCATTAGAAAGCTTTAAGGAAGATCACAGTGATCCACTTTAGAGAGAATTATTGAGGAGTGAGGTTGGGGGTAAGTATAAGAGCAGGGAGGACAAGTTAGGGTTCCTGGCAGGAGATGGTGGCAGTGAGATGAGAAGAGGTGGTCAAACTTCAGGTGTGTTTGGAGGTAGAATTGATTTTCTGATGATTTGGATACAAGAATATGAGAGTATAGTAAAGAGAGAATTAAAGGATGATGTTTAGTTTTTTGACTCAAGAAATAGGCTAGATAGTAACTCCTTTAAGGATTTGAAGACTGGAATAGGTCTAAATTTGGGAGACAAAATCAGGAGTTCTGTTTACCATTTATGCTTGAGATAGCTACTAGACATTCAGGTGACGGTATCAAGTATATGATTGGTCAAGAGTTCATGAGTGCCCTAGTGTAATTCTGTCCTGCGTGACTTTCCATCTGTCTCTACCACCTGAGTGAGCACTTTCAGCCCATGGAAAATTCATTGGATATGGACATGAGCCCTCTGAGGCCCCTGAACTGTTTTTTTGTTGTTGTTGTGGACTAAAAGCCAACAAAGATTATCACTCTAAGTTGGATAATGATGAAAATGAGCACCAGTTAGCTTTCACAACAGTTTATGAATTAGGAAGGTAGCTCAATTAAAGTCACACTGGCTACTTTGAAAATGTCTGTACAGCCAGTGGTTTCCCTTGGGGGCTTTGAAATAACACCACCAGTGGTCTTACGACTGAAGTGTGGCTCAGGGCCTGTGCATATTAGTGGACAGCACTTAGTAGCTATGGAGGAATATGCAGAGTCAGATGATGAAGAGGAGGAAGATGTAAAACTTTAAGTATATCAGGAAAGCAATCTGCCCCTGCAAGTGGTAACCAGATTCCACAGAAAAAAGTAAAACTTGCTGCAGGTGAAAAAGATATGATGACAATGACGATGCTGAGGAAGATGATGATGATGAAACTGAAGGAAAATTCCAGTAAAGAAATCTATATGGGATTCTCCAGCTAAAAATGCACAACAATCAAACCAGAATGGAAAATACTCAAAACCATCAACACCAAGATCAAAAGGTCAAGAATCAAAAAACTAGGGAAAAACTCCTAAAGCACTAAAAGGACCTAGATCTGTAGAAGATATTATAGCAGAAATGTAAACAAGTATAGAAAAAGGTGTTTCTCTTCCCAAGGTAGAAGCCAAATTCATTGACTATGTGAAAAATTCTTTTCAGCTAATGGACCAAAAAGCTATTAAAGTTTGCTGACAGTGGAGGGTGTCTCTTTAAGAAAATAGTTTAAACAATTGGTTAAAATTTTCCATCTTACGTCATTTCTGTAACAGTTGATATCTGGCTTACCTTTTTTATAATGCAGAGTGAGATCTTCCCCTACCACGTCTGATAAATGTTGTCCAGGTTCCTTTGCCAAGAATATGTTGTTCAAAATACCTGTTTAGTTTTAAAGATGGAACTCCACCCTTTGCTTGGTCTAAGTGTGTATGGAATGTTATGATTGGACATAGTCAGTGGTCAGACAAATGGAGATGGTGGGGAGGCAAAAATATGTGAAATAAGCTCAGAATTTAAAAAAAAAAAAGTTCAGGGGCAAGATTAGAGATGAAGCTGTAAATGTGTTAGCCATCAGTATAAGGATGTATGGTCATAACCCTGAATGAGAGAGGCTAGACACAAGAGGTCCCAGGACATGCCTTCCTTGAAACAGACTCTTCGCTGACACTTCATCAGTTTTCCCTCTTACTCTCCTGCTGATCCTTTATCTTACTCTCCTTTGTCAACTTCTGTGACTCTGCTTTAGCCCTTATCTCCTGTCATTCTGTAGTATTAGATAACTCTCACAGGAAATAGTGTTTAGTCATAGCTAGTCTTCCTCTGTGGTTTTGTAGGAGAAGCAGTGGACTGCAAGGTAGGTTTGAACTACAACATCAGTGGTTCAAATTCACCAGCTGCTCTTCGGAAACCCTGTATACAGTTGCTATGCATCAAAACCAAACTCGATGGCACTTTAACAGCAACAACATTCCCCTTACTAAATATTTTCTTAAATCTATTTCTTTCCACCTTTAAACACTTCAAGGTCCTTTCCACCTCAGGACCTTCGCCCTTCACTGCTGTGCCTGTCTACAGAGTTCATAGTTTCCAACTCTGCTTTAGGGCCACACACACATTTTTCTTAGGTCCTAGCTTAAATACTGCTCCTTCAGGGAGTACTTTCTGAACCAGACCAAGTCAGGTTCCTTGTTAGAGCTTATTATGTTTATCAATAAATGAATTGTGTAATTGAGTATTTTCCCCAAGTCATAGCTCAGGCCCCATTTTGTGCCCTTTTCTTCTTTCCGTGAGTGTCCAAGAAGAGATTAAGTTCTGTAAGGGTAGAAACCAGGTTTGGTATTGTCTTGTTGCTTTATCCCCAAAGCCTGGGAGAGGCCTGAATGTAGGTGTTCAATAAATATTTGTAGAACTCCTGACCAAAGATAAAATGAAATTGGAAAGGGGAAGGTAGAGACCCTTTCTTGTGCCCGCTTAAGGCTGATGCTGTGCTTTAAGAGGCTAACACAGAAGGGTAAAGTAAGTCTCCATAAAACCCAGAGAAGAGATTGTGAAACTCTTCTTTGGATCCTGTCTGGAGTTACAACTAGAGCATAGGGGAGTGGGTATAAAAGAAACAAAATGAGATACCAGAGAATGCTTTTTTGTTGTTTGTTGTTAATGTGCCTTCTAGTCGATTCCAACTCAAAATGTGATCCTGTATAGGAGTTTCAAAGAGTGGCTGGTGGACTTGAACTGTTGACTCTGTGTTTGGAGTCCAGTGCTGATCCCTAGCTAATATTGAACCTAAGGTCTCTGGATGGCACAAATGGTTTACACTTGATGGTTTGAATCCACCCTGTGGGGCCTTGAAGAACAGCCTGGTGATTAGTTTTTGTAAATATTAAAAATTGAACCCGTTGAGTTGATTCTGACTCACAGGTTCATAAAGATTACAGCCTAGAAAACCGTATGAGGTTACCATAAATCAGAATCAACTCGATGAAATAGATATTTTTTGTTTGTTTTTAATAGTATTGATCCTGTAACAGCTCTTACCTTGCCACTGTGTTTGAGCATTGTAATTTTTTCTCAGAGAAGGAATAAAGACATATTAGGAAAAAAATTTAGGATTTCTGTATTCTGAAAGTTTGAAGGAAAATGTTGGTGAGACAGACTAAATGGATGAAGTGACTTTCCTCTTTGCAGGTAGTTCTCATGTGCTGGGAAAATCATCTGTACGATGCTATGATCTATGTCTACAACAGAGGCATGAATGAATTTATTAGTCCAATGGAGGTAAGGTAATTCCTAATTTAGACAATTATTTCAAATTCTCTATTAATCCTCTTCCCTCCCCTCCCTCAGTCTTCATTTGCTTAGAATAAGTGCTGTTGTTTTCATCTGATCATTTCCTAAATTTCTTACAGATTCATTAGCTTTTCAACCATTTTAGCTTGAGGTATTCTTTAATTTCGTGTCTTTTTCACATTATATTCATTAAGGTATTCTTTAATTTCGTGTCTTTTTCACATTATATTCTTTTAAAGTTTGCATAAATGAGTAATTAAATCCCACAGAGCAATAGATAAAATTAAACATAATTCTTAGTTCTTTGATGTCTTCTAATTTTTTTTTCTCTGAAAAATGTTTGATACTCTTAATAGCTTTTCCAAAAGGTGCCAGAACTATATTGTGTATAATTATTGTCTGTAATGATACCCTGTACTAGTAGATCTGTTCTTCTGGAAGAAGGGCCTGAAAATTATGGGAGGTCATTATTTGTGAGTTACTAATTTGTTTTTCACTAGTTCAGAATTTATAGCATTCATTATAATCTCTTATTGCCCTGATCCTTAGAAGAGAGCAACTAAAAAGTATTTGGGTTTGTTTTTAAAAGAACCAAACCCCATATTCATATGGTCATTTGTCTTAAACTTGAAGACAGTTCTGGGTACTGGGTTGCAGATACACATAGTGGGGACCCCTACCCCCCCGCCCCAGCAGTGTTAACAGATTGAAATGTTACTTGTCTCAGAAAGGTGGGACAGAAAGCATCCAATCAAGTTTGTTTTGCATATTTAGTGAGCACCCGAGATTATCTTCACTATTAATGCAATTGGGATTTATTCTCTGACATTTCAGGCTTCTTTAAGCACACTTAGCCTGATAGGTTGAATATCCCTTTAATTCATAATTCCTTACATTTCAGTTGCATCTCTTTCTCTTGGATATTTTCTAAAATGATTGGCACACACTTCTTCCCCTGGTTTTGGCTGTGAGTGAATGTTTGCCGAGTATTTTTTAAACTTGAACATTTCTCAGCTGCTTCCTCACTGAGCTTCAGTACTTCCCTGAGGAAGACCCATCAGCTGCCACCTCAGCTCCTGAATGTTCTTTCACATTCCTAAACCACAGTGAGGAAGGATTAATGCACTTTCTCATTTCTCTCAAAATGATCTTTGAAAGTAGATTCTAATCTTACACAGTCTAGATTGATAAAAATAATTGCTAGGATTTTGTTAATGTTGCTGTTGAAGCATTTGTGTATTTTTTTCCCTCACACTGTGGTTTGCATTTTTACTTGTACATCTCAGATGAAACATTGGACTACTGTGGCTGCCTTATTTTGTGTTGAGTGTAGTTGTGAAGGATCTCGCTTTCAGCAGGAGCTTGGTATTTATTATGAAAATTTCCTCTGGAGACTTTAGCAGTGGGCAGCTAGGTGTTCCTATAATACCTCTTTGATAATTCTCTACCTAAAAAGAAATCATTGCATCTCAGAGTTTAGCTATTTTAGTACTTTGTTGTTGTTGTTAAGTGTCGTCAAGTCAGTTCCGACCCATAACAACCCTGATAGGGTTTCTGAGGAGCAGCTGGTGAGCTTGAACCACCAACCTTACAGTTCAAACGGCTTTGCAGTCTGGTGCATTAGCTCACAGCGCCTCACTTTTAGTACTTAAGGAGGTCTAAATTAGGGGATTCTTGCCTTTTGGATTTCTCTAGATTTTTCTATAATGAAACTGTCATCACATTTTACATGACTACTGAAATAAACCCAAGCCCATGGCTGTTGAGTTAATTCTGACTTACAGCAACCCTTGTAAAGCCCCTAAAAAATTTTCTTATTTCAAGTTTTGGCTGCTTCTGAGGTAAGAATAATGCTTTTGTTGGCTGCTTTTTAAAGAATAAACCACTTTTAAGAAATTTTCATCTCAGCAAAGATCTTCATCTAACTGGTGATTATTAAATGTTGTCCTTTAGTGAGGAAAGTGACAATAATGATGGTTTATTAGAGATCCTGCTTTGGTAGAACTGTGCATGTCTCCACTAAAAGTTTTTAGATTTTATCTCCATAGCAAATTACTAATGGAAATCAGGATAGTATGGTTAGCAGCATAAGATTCTTGATGATCTCTCTAAACGTTTTAACCTTTGAAATCATGGTGATTCTTTTCCTGTTAATTTTCATCTAGAAACTTTTCAAAGTCATTGCTCCTCCTCTGAATGCAGGAAAGACTCTTACAGGTAATAATTTTCTAAGCTTTCATTTTCTCTATTTAAAACTTTTAAGATATATTATTTAATATCATGAATGTCACCAATTTTATATGTGTCACCTGAATTTTGGTAATTGTATAGAATCCGAGAACCACCACCATAATCAAACTGTAGTCAGTTACACGTCTTCTTTCAGTCACTACAGTCTTGCCTTTTCTAGAATTGCATGCAAATGGAATCACACCCCATGTAGTTTTTGTGTTTGATTTCTTTTACTTAGCAGATTGTTTTTGAGGTTCATCCCTGTTGTATGCACTCAAATTTCATTCCTTTTTATTGCTGAATAGTGTTCTATAGATTGAATATATGAAGTTAGTCATCATTATATGTGGTTTCTATATTTGCAAATTTATCTACTTGCTGCAATTTACTTGTATTCCCAAATCAATACTTGTGGCACTCTCACAGTCAGGCATGCACGTTGTTGTTGTTATGTGCCGTGGAGTCGGTTCCGACTCATAGCAACCCTGTACAGGGTTTCCAAGTCTGTAAATCTTCGTGGGAGCAGAAAGCCTCATCTTTCTTCTGCGGAACAGCTGGTAGTTTCGAATTGCTGACCATGAGATTAGCAGCCTGATTCGTCACCACTATGCTACTAAAGCTCCTTCAGACATGCATTGTTGTTGTTGTTAAGTGCCGTCAAGTCGGGTTCCAACCCATAGCGACCCCTGTATAGGGTTTCTGAGGAGCAGCTGGTGAGCTTGAACCGCCAACCTTGCAGTTCAAATGGCTTTGCCGTCTGGCACATTAACCCATAGCGCCACACCAGAACTCCATAGAGAGGTGAAAAATTTGAGTTGTCTGATGTGCACATTCCCAGCTGAGGTTGAACAGGGTGACGCTCTGTGTCTTGTTTCAGTGCTCATATTATAAACATATGTCCTTCATGGTCTACTTAGTGCCATATTTTTCTCATTTGGGAGCTTTTCATTGGTGATTTCACCGTTTAAAATGGCCCCCAAGCATAGCGTTAACGTGCTCTATGTTATTCCAAAGTGCAAAGAAATCTGATGGACTTTTGGAGAAAATATGCACGTTGGATAAACTTCATTCAGGCATCTGTTACAGTGCTGCTGGCCTTAAGTTCAGTGTTAATGAATCAACACTATGGTACATCTAGATAAAGGAAGGGGAAATCGAGTGCTTGGTACATAGAAAGTGCTTGAGGAGACCATGGGAAAGCAACTAAATGTGTAAATTCGTGAGATGACAAAATGCTTTTATAAAATATAGTGGACAGCATTTTTTGGAGACTGAAAGTCAAAGAAATTTTGATCATGTTAACCAAGATCAGAAACATGTTAAACCCATCGGAGTTTGTATTTTATTATGAAGATTTGCTATATGTAATTATTTATAACAAATATACATTAGAAGTTATCTTTAAACAGAAACACACATGAAAAAGACTCTATATTGATTAGTTGATGATAATATGACCAGAGATTCACAGAAGCCTAACCTTTTATTTCCTCTAGGGATCATGTCTCAGTATTTGCTAAGTTAGTAATCGTGGTAACTTTATAAATAGTCATACATACCATAATACTGTGAACTGACTGTTGGGTAATTTATCTATCTATTCACCAGTTGATGAATATTTCAGTTATTTCTAGTTTGGGGCTATCTTGAATAATGCTCCTACAACATTTATGAACCAGTTTTAATTTTTTTAAACTTTTGATTTTGAGATAATTGTAGATCACATGCGTTGTAAGAAGCAATCAATACAGAGAGATCCTGTGTACTGTATCCAGTGGTCCTTCTCCCCTAATGATAATATCTTACAAAACTATCATATAATAATAGCACCACCAGGACATTCATATTGATAAAGTGAAGATGCAGAACAGTTCCATCACTGCAAGGATCTCTCATGTTGTCCTTGCCCTCTCCTCCAGCTCCCATCCTTGGCCCTTGGCTGTGAAAAGGTTTTTGTGTAGACATGTATGTATACTTACCTTGAGTATATACCTAGAATTGGAATGGCTGCTATGTATAGTAGATGTATATTTAAATTTCTAAAGTATTGCTATCTGGCTTTTCAAAATGGCTGTACCATTTTGCATACTCATCAGCTATATATGAAAGGTCCAGTTGCTCCACCTGCTTGTACGTGTTTGGTGTGGTAAATCTTTTTTAAATACTAGTCATTCTGAATGTATAGTAGTGTATCATTGTTGCCTTAATTTTTTTTTAATGTTTTATTGTAAATTATGTGATAGTTTACATGGGAAAACATTAGCTTTACATTCATCCTATCATATATCGTTTCATTGTCATGGTTACAATCCCCTCCATGCATCATCAACCAACCAAAGGGTATATCCTGAAAGCCTGCCCCTCAGTCGTCAGCATACAGCCCCTCTCCCTCTCTGGGTCTAAAGTCCCCAGCCGCTCCATCTCTCCATATCATCATCTCTTCCTCCATCTCTAGTGTCACTGCTTCTCTGGGTAGGGTCCCGCTCTCCGCTCTTCTCCCTTGATAGTCCCAGGGACCTCAGCTCCTAGACTGCAAAGTCTATCACTCTCCTCTTTTTGCTATAAAACATCTACCTTTACATTTCCAACCCTCACAATCAGTTTTGATTATAATTATTCACTATTGTATCACAAGAGACCTATCCGTGTCTCCTTTCATCAGCCCCGCCCAGTGTTGCCTTAAATTTTATTTCCCTGATAATTAATGTTGTGTCATACGTCTTTTCATGTGTTCATAGGACACTCATATATTTTCATTTATGAAGTGTCTTTTCAAATCCAGCCCATTTTAATTTGTTCTTTTAAGTTATCTTCATAGTATTATTGTAAGCATAAGCGATGTATTCTCTATATAAGTCCATTTTTCAATATTGCTTTACCACAAAATTTAATCCCATTCTATGGCCTGCCTTTTTATTTCCTTAATCATGTGTTGTTGTTTTTTAACTTTTTCTTTTTTAATTAAGTGAAGGTTTGCAGACAAGATCATCAATAACTCACCTCAATGAACGAAATCTTTTCCATGCAACACAGTTATCCCATTTTGTCCCTGTGGTTCCTATTTCCATTCCATCCACTTTCCTATCCCTTTTCAATTTTGTCCTTAGGTAAATGTTGTCCTTTTGGTTTTGAATGATTGACCATTCCATGGTGAGCACACCTTACTAGTGTAGTCCCCCCTATATACCTATCTACTTCTTGGCAGAAAGTTGGACTGTGAAGTTGAGTTCCTTTCCAGACCTGAGAGTGGTCACGGGTCAGAGTCTCAGGTTCCTCCAGTCTCTTTCTGACCAGTAACTCTGGTCTTTTTATCTAATACTTTTGAGTTTTGTTCCACATTTTCTCCTACTCTTTCCAAGATCATCTATTGCGCGTGATCACTTTCAGAGCAATTGGTAGTGTTAGCCAGGCACCATCTAGTTCTTGGTCTCAGAGTTGTGGAGACTAATGTTCATGTGTTCCGTTAGGCCATTGGAGGGCCTGAATGTAGCTGTTCAATAAATATTTGTAGAACTCATGACCAATAATAAAATTAATATGGAAAGGAGAAGGTAGAGACCCTTTCTTATGCCCTTTTAAAGTTGATGCTGTGCTTTAAGAGGCTAACACAGAAGGGTAAAATAAGTCTCCATGAAACCCTCTAGAGAAGAGATTGTAGCACTGTTTTTTGGATCCTATTTGAGAAAAGAAGTGAGGAGGAATAAAAGAAGCAAATGTTCATTGCTATTCCCATGTTCCATTAGTCTGCTGATTTTAAGCCTGTTCAGTTCTCATCACTCTTGTGTCTTCCACATATGGAGAAACCAATAACTGCACCTTAGATGGCTACTCATGAGCTGTTAAGATCCCAGACACTGCTTATCAAAGTGGGATGTAGACACTGTTTTTGTTGGCTATGTTAAGCCAGTTGACCACGGTGTTCTAAGCCCCAGACCCAGAAACTCACTGCCTTAAGAATATTGAATAATATCTAAGAAGTTTTCTTGATTTTGTCCACTGATTCACCATACTCATAGTTGTGCTTGCCAGAAGCATAAATGCCAATGTACCAATATCCTCTTTCAAACTTATATATTTGTGAGTATACTTCCACTCTTGCTGCCATTCAGCCTGTATCTCTGTCCATGTATCTACCCACAAAACACTATTGTTCCAAGGCTGTATGTATATCACTATTACCTCTATTTTCTTTAGCTCTCGCATACCTTCCTGTGTCTTCACCTCTCTTCATTATTCTTCTGCCAACCTCCCTCTTCTTATTTCTTGCCCTCCCCGTTACCCACATTAACAGCTCTGGTAGCATAGTGGTTACGAATTGGGCTGCTAACCTCAAGGTTGGCAGTTCGAAACTACCAGCTGTT